GTTACTGTTGTTAGGTTGTGTTACTGTTGTTAGGTTGTGTTACTGTTGTTAGGTTGCGTTACTGTTGTTACGTTGTGTTACTGTTGTTACGTTGTGTTACTGTTGTGTTACCTGCACTCTGTTTTACAGGTTTATAGAGAACAACGTTTGAACGTGTTTGTTTTTTATTCGACTTGAGCTTCTTGGTTTTACTGATTTATTATTTTCAACAATAATTTTCAAGAAACTAGATCTTTAGATTGAATCATGTTTTTATGTTTAGTTGAACAAAGTAATCTTTGTTAATGTGTGATTGTTTTGTATTCATGTAATACTTGGCTTGTGTTAAACCCAGTTCTTCCTCAGAGTTAGTTTCTGTCCACAGATGTTCGTTCTGCTGATCAATACGTGATCAGCAGATACGTATCAATACATGATAACAGTTTAAGGTCAGAGGGAAACGAGGCTGATAATGGAAATGATTAAAGACCAGTGGTGGCTCTGACACTGGAACATGGAGAGGTTTTATTTTCATTCTTGCTCAAACGTAACGTCCAGATGAGACGACAGATGTTTAGTCCTGTGTTAAACTCAGTTCCAGTGTCCTGCTCGTCTCTCTCTCAACCCGTCTTTCTTTCCCAGTGACCTGTCTTACAACCACATCGGACAGTTGCCGTCCTTCCAGGGCTGCAGCCTGCTGCAGGAGATGTAAGTGTCGAGCTCGTTCTTAAAGCCCCTGCACGTGACACTAATGGAGTTTCAAATACTGGTCTTGCTCTTCTTTTTACATCAGTGCACATTCAGGAGAAAACACGAACACGTTTGTTCATAAAAACTAAACTCTTGTTAAAATCTGCAGGAACGTTCAGCACAATCACATTCAACACATCGACGGGGACACTTTCCAAAGTCTCTCTGCTCTCCGGTTGCTGTAAGTCCCTGAGCGGCACCGACTCACCGCATGTCGTCGAAACATCACTTTGATTTCCTCTTTGTGTTGCTTGACAGAGACCTGAGCAGAAATGAAATCCGAGTTATCCACAAAGATGCCTTCCTCAGCCTCTCTGCTCTCACCAACCTGTGAGTAGGATGCAACAAGGTTAAAACCCGTTTCACGCTAACCTTTAACTCAACTTTTGTTTTGTAGAGATCTCAGCATGAACTCCCTGTCTGGGATTCCAACAGCTGGACTGAGCTCCATCAATCAGCTGAAACTTTCAGGGAACCCACAGATGAAAAATGTGATTCCTGCAAAAAGCCTCCCGAAGCTCAGGTGTGACACCCCCCCCCCCCCCCCATCTTTCTCCTCTAGTTTTTGTTGGTTTACTCTCACATTCATATTTACAGACAAAATACACGTAAAATGATTTTTGTGTGTGTGTTCTGGTGAAGGATTCAGATCCTGGATATTGGATTAATCGATGTTAAAGAATAAAAATAAACAGTAAATTGTATTAATTCCAACTGAACTCCAGTTCAATAGAATGTTTGCATTTAGCAATATATTTTATGAGCCAGTGGGCAGATTTTAATGAGGCTGAGGAAATAATTGTAGTTTTCTAGATTGGCCTTATAATCTAGCTGTTTTTGTTACTTTTTTTGCCATCTTATTTTAATTAGTAAAAAATAAAAAATATCTGTATGCCTTTGTATAATTGTCTATTGTTGTCATCGCTCTTTGTTAAATCAGGTCTCTCTTGTAAATGAGTCCTCGAGGCTCAACGGGATGAACCTGTAGAAATAAAGGTTGAATGAATTGTTGAACGTATTTCTACGACAAGTTAACTTTTAAAGTAAATCCACTCGAATATGGTCAGTATTCCAGATCTTGAGCTAAAGTTTGGTGTGGTAGTAGCTGAGAGTCATTCCCAACTCCGGCTTTGAGCAGCAACAGATCATGTGAAATCTTTAAAGTTTTGTCAATAACTGTTGGAGTCAACTTTGTCCATGTTGGAAGAAAAAAACTCAAAGTAATGATTTGACCCAAAGTAAGATGGCTGCCACATCGAAGCCACCTTGTCAACGTTGCTCCAGTTCAGACATTGACAACGTTGGATGTGGTCGTAGCTGAGAGTACTTCCATCACATTACAAAGTTTGGAACGTAAAGATGGAGTCGAATGACGAGAACACAAGAAAAGGTTGCGCTGCGTGAAACTGACCCAAGCAGTCTGTCGACAACCAAACTGTCACTGTTCACATTTAATGAGGAACGCAGACAGATGTGTTTTCTACACCGTCGTCGTCCTACGATGGAAACATTAACCAGAAGCAGGAATCCCCAGATGTGCCGCTGACCCCAGCTGGACTCTGACAGCAGCTCGTAATGATTCTTGTGTGTCTGCAGGTCCATCTCTGTCCCGTACGCCTACCAGTGCTGCGCGTTTGTTGGCTGCGAGTCCAGGTCGTCTGAGGACGCTCACATGAAGAAATATTCAGGTGCGGATGCTCCGATGTTCTGGTGACGTGTCTTGTCTTGGGTCTGAGCAGCTGACACGTTAACGTGGTCTTCCTCACACTCGCAGACTGTCCCTGTAGTTTCAGTATAAAACAACGTAAACGGAAGTGTCAGTGTTAAAAAACATCAACTGTATTCAGGATCTGCGTATTCTTGTTTTCCTGGAAGGCTCGTCCTGGAACAAATACAGATAAGAGGAAGTGGATCTTTTCTGGCAACGTGCCTCATTTCTTTTAATGTTCTTGCTTTATTTTAGGTGGAGAGGAGACCGAACGAGTCTCCATGGTTTTGCATTGCTCTCCTTCACCAGGTAAACAACCATTTGCAGCTTTCAGGATGGATCTGTTACTTTACTAAATAATGGAATCCAAAAAGTGATTGAATGTTTTAAATTGCCTCTCTCATCAGGAGCCTTTAAGCCCTGTGAGCACCTCCTGGGAAACTGGATGATTCGCCTGACGGTGTGGTTTATCTGCCTGGTGTCGCTGGTCTTTAACAGCCTGGTGCTGGTGGCCACCTTCTCCTCCGTTCACCGAGCCGCGGGCCGTTGGCTCTACCTGACTCCGTCTCTGTCTCCAGCCAGGCTGCTGATGGGGCTGCTGGCCGGGGCCAACCTCCTCACAGGCCTGTACGTCGGGGTGCTGACGGCGCTCGACGCTGCTACGTGGGGATCTTTTGCCGAGTTTGGGGTGTGGTGGGAGACGGGCCCAGGCTGTCGGATCACTGGAGCTCTTGCTGTGTTTTCGTCCGAGTGGTCCGTGTTGCTGCTGGCGCTGGCAGCTGTGGAGCGAAGCGTTGCCGTACGGATGATTTTGGGAAAAGCTGTGATTTCACCCAGGAGGAATGGCAGCACCGTTCGCAGATGTTTGACAGGAAATGGACGCATGGGTCTGGCTGCAGGACTCCTGGGGCTGCTGGCTGCTGCCGGGGCCTGCCTGCCTCTCCTGACCTTCAGCGATCAGTCCTCGTCTCCTCTCTGCTTGCCGTTTGCTCGTGGTGAGAGTCCAGCTCTGAGTATTACAGTCATTCTTGTGCTGCTCAACGCCCTGGCTTATCTGTTCACTGCTGCCGTGTACACCCAGCTGTACTGCCACCTCGGCCGGGTGGAGCTGGCAGACCCGGGGCAGACGGGAGCCCTGCGTCACGTGGCCTGGCTCATCTTCACCAACTGCATCTTCTTCTGTCCCGTGGCGGCTTTCTCCTTCGCCCCTCTCCTGACCGGCTCTGCAGCCGGTGGCCCAGAAATCGCCAAGTCCGTCACTCTTATTTTCTTCCCGCTGCCCGCGTGCCTGAACCCAGTGCTGTACGTGTTTTTCAGCCCGGCCTTCAGGGAGGACTGGCTGAGGCTGCGCGGCCGCGGAGGTCTGAGCAGAGAGATGAAGACTGGAGCGGAAAGTCCCTGCGATGACGGCGCTGGAGGTTCGGAGCTCACAGACGAAGGCTCCTCCACCTACCTGACCTTTGACTGTGGTGCATATTCACAGCTTTGTGGAGAGACGGTGTGTGAGCGGTGCGAGGCAGCGCTACATGCCCAGACCCGCTCTTCCCCCTCAGCCTTCACAGGCTGCAGACATTTGGTGAAGTCCCACAGCTGTCCCACCCTGCTCGCAGGCGCTGCAGCGTGCCAGCGCACTGAGGGGTTTTGGGCAGACAGCGGCACGCCCTCCGCTCAGTCCGAATACGCCGACGAGGGGGACTCGTTTGTGTCCGACAGCTCGGACCAGGTTCAGGCGTGCGGCAGGGCCTGCTTCTGCCAGAGCAGAGGACTTCCTCTGGTACACTACTCACACAACTTACCTCAAGTCAAGGACTAAGGAGGCTCCGTGCTCCAGAACTCTCTGTCATGTGAATTTAGATTCTCCAAGATGAACTATATTTTTTTATATAAAGTGTGCCAACTATCCTGTAATTCACAAGCACTTAATGTTTTTAATTCCTGTCAACAAACCAGTCGTTTAAAGGGAATTTGGCTTTTAGAGCATTTTTAGGTGTAGATGTTACGGAAGCTCTTCCCATCGGTGCTGCCTGCCTCTTTCACAACGCAACGTGTTACACATTCAGCCTTCCTTTGTAAATGTGTTGCTCCTCTCATCAAACGTTGAACCTTCTGCTGATTCTTGGATGATTTTTGTGCGGTATGTCATTGTAGCAGATGTTAAACTCACTCAGGTGGTTTTCACCCAGTCAGTAAAACCCAGCAGCAGCTCTTCTCCTAACTGCACGTTCAGCACTGCAGATGTGTTAGTTTTAGGTTTGCTTTAAATTTCTAAGACTATAAATGTGATAAAAGTAGCAGATATCACTGTTTTAACGACAACTGTTTGTGGTTGTTTTGGCACGTTATTTATTGTTCGGGTGGAGACGACTTCAGGTCTGAACAGTACACAAAGCGTTAGCACGTAGCATCTGTGTATTTATTCATGACACATGCAGGTTTACGAGATCACTTTCAGTTAGGTAAGGTCTTCTTGTTTTCTTAGTTTTGCCATTGTGATGTTTAATTCGGATCAAAATGTTTGTTATAAACTGCAGATGAACAAATCCAGTTGAACCAAAAGGCTCGATAATCACATGGAACGTACTAAAACGTGCTCACACTCTCACCTGCAGGAATAAATCTGCATTTTGAGAAACGTTCGTTCAGACCAAACAGAAATGATGCAAATATGAGCTTCAGCCAACACAGAAATAACTTAAATGAGCATTTGGTGCTGAATGGCTGCAAATTAGAACTTTTAATTTGGATTAAATTGCACAATATCTCAAATGAATCTACCAACATGACGTTATTTTCATACAGTTTATACGAGTGTTTGAGCTGCATTTTTAAACCATTATAACCCCTTTACATACATTTGGGCGCTTGAAGAATGATTAATCTGCATTGACTCAGAACGCTTATAACACACATTTATTGCAAATTTATGCAACGTGTAAGACGTGCAAGTGTAACAAATCCTGTGAAATATTTCAACAACTCTTAAACATGATGGTAAAGTAAGAGAAAAATATGGCCCAACAATAAACGCAGTTGAAGGCTCTGCGTCTGTTTTCATCCCGTTTGGTCATGGTGGTTTTTAGTTTAGTTATAAATGTCGTCACAGTTTGATCCTGTGAGATGAACAGACGTGCACGTGGAGAGCCCGCCTGAGTCACACTGGGTGCGACAGGAGCTGACAGATGTTTGGTGTGCTGGAGCATGACTGCACACATTAAGGTGGTCACACCCTTGGAGCGTGTGCGTGCACGTCATGCGAGCGCTCAGGAATTCAGACGATGTGGGGAAACGTTTCCTTCACCCAGCAGACGTTTCTCACGTTACTGTTTGATTCAGCACGGCTCTGAAAATCAACCATTCTTTGATTGATGCTCCAGCTGGTGAAAACTCTACAAAACTTTTTAACTTTTATTGTTCTGTATGTAAATTATTTGGAGAAAAATCAGACTAAGAATGGGATGCTAGCTGAGGAAGCTGCCTCCATGACTGTCATGGCTGCAGAGCTTCGGAACAGAAACTCATTTTCTGCCAGTCTTTGACTTCGAGGAAATCCTTTAAGTTTTGTGCAAATAGTGGGAGGAATCTATGTACTGTATACTGTGATTATTTTTTAAAGCAAACCCTAAACTATGAATTTTTGTTTTATCTTTTATAAATACAAAGTTGCAGATTATATAAAATATTTCACATGATTTCAGTTTAAGTTAAATTTTATGTTAATTCTTTTGTGTCAAATATCCCCATTTTTTTCTGTTCAAGCAGAAAATCAGTTCATTAAATTGTGAATGAATAAAATAAATGAACACAATTGCGCCATTTCTTACAGATGCACTTTAATGAGCTTTAATTTTCTTTTTTATATATTTTTTTATCAGTGGCCCAGTTATCATCGACGTTTGACACTTTCTAATGTGCACCACAGCCCCGAATAGTTTCTTAGCCATTTCTCGTCGGTGTTGATCTCTCTTGTTTTGGACACCTGCTTTCTTAAAATGTCTGTAAATGAGTTTATTGGTATTTTATGTTGTATGGTATGGTATATAGTTTATTCATTTTAAAAAAGTACAAAACAATTCCATAACAATATAAAAAAGGATACAAAGGATTTAAAATGAATATGAATGTTGTGAGACGTTCCCGGGTGTCGGAGTGACTGCAGAGTAGCTCAAACATGAACTTTGTTTAGACTGAGCCTATTTCAACGAGCCACAGGTAAGCAATGAGACCAACCTGTGAAATAAAGAAGCATGAAACCATTTAGACGACGAAACATCACAAAATACTCACGTTGACTGTGCACGCTAGTAACTGTACAAAGCTCACTTGTACTTTTCTTAGACCACACGTGCAAAAGAGCATTTGTGATGCTTAAAAGCATTTTGTCCTCTCGTGTCACGTGCAAGAACTTATTGTGAGTTTTGGACCCCCAACCCGTCCTGTTGGTCTGGGGGCCCTGACAGTTGCTTTGTAAAAATGGAGCAGGAGTTGCGTTGAATTTGGCCTCAGAACTGCTGATTTACAGAACCTGTGGTCAGAATGGGATCAGTGATGCACAAGTCCAAAGCTGCCATGTTTCACACTGAAGTCCACAGAGGGGGGAGGACAGCCACTGCCCCCACAACACACACACACACGGCTGTACAAGACACATTGGGATCACACTTTGGGCATTACTGAGACTTTGTGGTCGTTTTCACAGCTGACAGTTCGGCAGACTCGGTTCAATCGGGACCAAAATTCAGAACATTTTGACATTTTCAGCTGGTGTGGTTGGTTCTCATTCACTGGGTCAGTCAACCTGTTCCCCCCCTCGCCTGTGGTGGCGCTGCACCAAGAACTACTGAAGGAAACAACACAAAAATATCTAAAAAAAAGTTAAATCTGGTCCTCTGGACATTCAAAAAAAACCCAAAACAAAGCAAAACAACAAAAAAATCTAGAAACGTTTTGTCTCTCATCCAGAAGACTTCCTCAGTCTGAGGTGGTGTATTCAGCTCAGTCTCTTAAATAGCACCGTCTCAGAGTGGATCAACCAGTTTTGCTGCTGACAACCAGAACCAGCTGATCACATGCTCAAGAAGGACCATGAGCCTAACAATGGATCATTAGCACCTGATGGCTGTTTACTGTTCACAGAGGGCTGAGTGATACTAGCAATCACAGCATTGTAAGAGGGGGACAGTTGAACCTGGAGGCTCCACCCCTGTTTAATGATGGACGATTTCTTTTCACAAAGATGGCCTCCTTTACTCCTCTCTCAAACCATCGTTCCTCTCTGTCCAGGATGTGAACATCTTCATCCCTGAAAGAGTGACCGCTGGCCTGGAGATGAGTGTAGACCTCAGAGTCCTGGCCTGATGATGTTGATCTTCTGTGCTGGTCCATCCTTTTGGCCAGTGGCTGTTTAGTTTCCCCGATGTAAGACTGATCACCCTCCTGACACTGAACAGCATACACAATATTACTCTGTTTGTGCCGGGGGACTGGATCTTTGGGATGAACCAGTCTTTAATGTATTTTGGGGTTTAAAAGCCACTGGGACGTTATGTTTAGAAAATAAACGTCTCAGTTTCTCTGATACCCCCTCAACATATGGAATGACCACTGGTCTGGGTCTGGGTTCCTCCTTTTCACCTGATGGCTGACTGGAGTCCTGTTTGGGTTTCTTCTCTTCTTTCAGGAAGGCCCAGTTAGGATATCCACATTGCTCTAGAGCCTGTCTTGTGTAGGATTTCTCCTTCTGCCTGGCTCCTGAGCTAGTGGGGACGCTGTCTGCTCTGTGGTACAGAGTCCTGATGACTCCTTACTTGTGCTCCAAAGGGTGATGGGAGTCAAACTGCAAATACTGGTCTGTGTGGGTGGGTTTGCGGTACACCTCAGTTTGCAAATGTCCTCTATCAGAGACTGAGACCTCACAGTCCAAGAAAGCCAACCTGCCATTTTTTACATCTTCTCGTGTGAACTTGATGTATTTATCCACAGAGTTGATGTGGTCAGTAAAATGTTGGACTTCCTGAGATTTGATTTTAACCCAGGTGTCGTCAACATACCTGAACCAATGACTTGGTGGTGTCCCTGAAAAGGACGTCAAGGCTCTCTTTTCTACCTCCTCCATGTACAGGTTGGCAACAATAGGAGAAACTGGAGACCCCATAGCACACCCATGTTTCTGCCTATAATATTGCTCCCCATATGTGAAGTAGGTTGACTGCAGGCACAGTTTCAAGAGTTGACACAGTTGTTCTGTGGAAAGTGTGGTCCTGCTGCTCAGAGTGGTGTCTGATTTTAATCTTAAACTGACCACCTCTACTGCATCATCAACAGGAATGCACGTAAAGAGTGATGTGACATCAAAAGAGACCATTGTTTCATCAGTCTCCATGATGACATCCCTCACCTTATCCACAAACCTTATGCAGACCTTCTTCTGGAAAATAAAAACAAAAATGGAGTGGCTTCAGATTTGAGCGGTTTTAGGATTTCGGTTTTGTCCTTTTTCAACAATGGGCTCAGCATGAGGACGATGAGGCACAACATCATGGAGAATGTTGTTTTTCACACAAGGCAGCTGACGGCTGTATGAGGTCAGAGACATGCGCGTTTGTTTTGGTTGTATTTTCCCAGAATGCCCTGCGCTGTAGTCCACTTCCTGGTTTTGGAGCGCTTTCCGGTCCAAGCATATAGTTGATATATAGTTTTTAATTCAATATTTAAAATGCTATTCTAAACAACAGTGTTGGAAGATGTCAGAGATTTTACATTAATAGATAAAGTTAAACATTTTCATGTTACAGCACTGACAGGCAGCAGCAGTGTAGAGTTTAGCTACCTGTTAGCTGCTAGCTAGCTTACTTTACAATTGGAGACTGTTTCCTTACACAGTTACAGAATGGTAAATTGATAATGATGGATAACGTTACCACAGCTAACTAACACATAAATACAGTTTTTATTAACCTTACCTTGCGCTATATCTTGTAATATAACCTCTGTAAATAAAGGTTGAAGGAATGAAATTCCGTTAAGTTTCCAGACAGGTCTCCCGAGGGAGAATAGACCCGGCAGTACTGATGCACAGCATGAGTCAAAAAGGAAGTTGTGAAAAGGGCCTATTGTATTCATCAATGCATTCGAACTGTGCCAGAGTTCAATTGTACGGAGCCCCGGAGGGACATGGGGGATTTTATTTTTCTTTTGCGTTCCCTCGCAGTACTGTATGTAGTGTTACCTCACAGACAACAAACATTCCTTCCTCAAAGAAACCGGTCCAGATGACATGATTTAATCTTTTTTGTTCTCACAGACAGCAACAATGGGACAGACACCCGCATCTGAGGTTCATGAAGTTTAGTTTTGAAATCAGCCTTAAATATAAGGATATCCAGTGTGTGCTGCAGCGGTAAAGTTAGTTTTACGTTGGATATTTCATGTTCATGCTCTGTAGATTCAGTTGTGTCTTCCTCGTTGACACAGGCAGTCTGATTTCAGTCTGTCCCTCCTCCCATGGTTCGCTTAGGGACTGTCAACAAATTATCGAGCTAATGCTTGCTCTGAACACAATTATAATATTTGAAATATATTTCAAAGCAGCACCATGTATCGTGAGTTTTCTCAGTATATTTCTGCATGGTAATAAATCATGAAATTTCTCACCATTTAAAATCCAAAAGAACAAGGTCGCACTTGAGTTTCAGAAGTACTGTAACTTTCTTTTAAAGCATCAAAGTTCATGCTCAGTCATCCAGGTACAAAATACAGTAATGGTCAGTCAGGTCATCTGGACAGTTTCTTTTTTGTGGAAAGATGTTTTACCCTCTATCCAGAGGGCTTCATCAGTCTGATGAGTCCCAAGTAAACTGTTTTCCCCACTAAGCAATACACTTCTTTAGTGGACCAACCAGTTTGCTGGTTTCCCTGGTGACTGATGAAGCCCTCTGGATAGAGGGCAAAACCATCCTTGAAAGAGATGGTCGTGGATTTCAGAAGGATACAGTACTTCTCAAAACGCAAGTGCCACCTTGTTCTTTTGGATTTTAAATGGTGATAAAATCAATTTATTACCATGCAGAAATGTACTGAGAAAACTTTAGTTAGATATGATACATGGTGCTGCTACTCTGGAAATGTATCTAAAATATGATGGTGTTCAGACCAAGCTCCTTAGCCCGGTAATTTGTTGGTGGTCCCTAATCGAACTATCGCTCCGGAGGAGGGACGGACTGAGAGCATCTGACTGAAATCAAACTGCCTGTATTGGATCAAAGGAGGAAGCCAGCGCTGAATCCACGGAGTATGAACACGAAATATCCAACATAAAACTAATTTTGCCACTGTAGCCCTGGATATCCTTATATTTAAGGCTGATTTCAAAACTAAACTCCATGAACCTCAAATGCTGGGTGTCTGTTCCGCTGTTGCTGTCGTCTGTGACGTAACACTACATACAGTACAGTATTGTGAGGGAACGCAGAAGGAAATAAAATCCCCATGTCCCCTCCGGGGCTCCGTACACTTCAACCGGATGGAGACCTATGTAGGTTTTTAGGCAGACCAGAGGTCGCTTTTTTGTTCCGCATCAGAGTTCGATAGCACATTCACACCTCCCAAAACGAACTGGACTTTCTAGGCAAACGGACTAGAGTTTGATTAAAGCGGACTAAACAGGGCTGCTGTGAATGCACCAACCTCTTATTGTAAACAAACAAACAAACAAACAAACAAACACCAGTCAGATTTATTGTTTGAAAGCATGTTTTACACACACAGATCAACCCAAACACTGAGCTCAAACGTATAAGGAATAAAAATAACAAATCAAATATGCATTCATCGATAATATTAATCAAATTAATAAACATTAAATGTATCTATTGTTTAAAGAACAAAAATCAAACTCAAGAGTTATTCAGTCGGTGACTGACGGTGAATTCAGTGAGCACTGATCTGTTCAGCAACAGAAACTTAAAGGTACTCGTTGCTAACTATAAAAACAAAAGTTATTTTCCAGATATTCTGAAATGCTTCTAAAACTGTGGGTACGCACTGAACATAAACAAAACACTAAAAAAACTCAGAGAAGCTGGAGGATAGACCAACATTAGGCTGGTGCAGTTTGTGTTGGCGAGTTGGAAAAGCATCAAATCACCAAGAAAGTGTTCTGGTGGAAATAAAAGACTGAACCGAACGTCAAATAAAAACAAGTCTCAGTCTGAAGGTTTGAAAAGCAGCTTTTCACAGAGCCCTCACACAAATTAGTCTCAGTGGTTACTGCTTTTAGAAAAGCTGGTGAAATGCTCCGTTTCTGAGTCTGTTTCACTTTAAATTGTTTTTAAAAATTATCAACTTCCTTTACCCAACACGTCTGAGTGTAAATGACATTTTCAGTCACTTTGGCAGTTTTCTATGGTAGTTGATGGTTGTTTACAAATTTGGTTCATAAATTTTACATTTATTGACACAGTAAACATTGATACGAGTATGAATCTGATAATTTTGTTTTTGATGTTTTGTATTTTTTGACTTAAACTATGTGCAGTGAGCACCTTTAACAGAAGAAAAAACCATAGTGCCAAAACAAACGTGCGTGGGTTAAACAGCTTATGATCTAAAATCAAATTCTTGTGGCACAAAAAGAGTGAACATTTGGGAGGGTGGTCCATTTCCTCTTGTTTCTCAGTCGGAGCTTCTCATTTGTTGGCATCTTTCTTTTCTTCTTTGGCAATTTGTGCTGCAACACAAAATCAAAAGGCCAGAACATTCAACTCAATCAAATTCATCCTCCACTCAGGTAACACTGGTCGTCCTACAGTTTGATCAGAAGCGTTCGTTAACAACTAAATTAATTTTATTTGAATAGTTTGAGGTGCATTTCAGTATTTTTAAATTATTTCTACAACACATTTATTTTGCTGACCAACTAGTTTCACACTCAAATCAGTTCAAGAAAAAGTGAGTTGAACTCACTTTTATCCCTTTTCAATCATCTTTTAAAATAAAATAAAAGTCCAATTCTGCACAGAAGCTGACTCCCTTCCATTCTCAAAGGAATTAAAAACTATTAAACTGCTCATCGAATAGGAAATATATCATTTTGAGCGATAGTAAAGCAGATTATTACAGATTATTATGGTTCTGCCTGACATAATAAAGTGGACAATGGTATTTTGAGGTCCGAAGATTAGATAAATTAAAAAAAAAAAGTTTAATCTCTAATGTGGGCAGTTTATCTGCCAAAGGTTCATTGGACACTTAAGACGTTTGTCGTTTGAAAGACTAGTGATTGAACTTAGGTTGTTTAAAAGAAGACAAGAAAGCAGAAAAAAAATCACTGAAAGATATAAATGTTATTTTTAAGTAAATACAATTTTCAATCCTTTAATTTAAAACTGGAGTGAGTGAAAATAAAGAACTGGTACGCCGATGTCCCCCGTCACTGAGGAATTTGAGTGATTGTTTTTAGTTTTTGTGATGAGTGTTTTGTGCCTTGGCCACCACACGTGCACACGTGCGCTGCTGCGAGCGGCTACCTGCCTGAGTTTCTTCCAAAATTGTTTATTCGTTTTTATGTTATTTTACCTTTTTAAACTGTGCTTGCACTGTATAGTGTAGTTTCAGGGGGAATTGCAAGTATGCAACTTTTTTGATACTTTTATCCTGGTTTTAACCGTGTTTGGAGAACTTTTTTTACCATTTTTATCATGACGAACCCCCATCCTTCTGGACGTGCGCAGGGCGCCATTGTATCAGGGAGCAGCTGATCGGTCTCTGACACAGAAGAGTCAAAAACATGAAATCCCTCAGGAGCTCAGAAGGAAACACTGGGGATGCAGAGCAGGAAAAAGACGGCGACTGGAAAAGAGGAAAACCGTATCTTCCATCTATTATGGGGAATGTCCACTCGCTGGCAAATAAGATTTATGAACTACCAGCATTCAGGAGGAGCCAGCATGTGTTTCGGTAGGCTTTATTGGTGTGTTTCATGGAGACTTGGCTTTGTGACAATATACTGGATGCTACAGTTGAGTTAGCTGGCTTTCACTGTGTGTGCGGACAGGAGCAGCAGAAATAATGGTGGGGTCGCAATTTATGTTAATAACAAATGGTGCAACCCCCAACACATCACAATAAATGAGCAAGTCAAGCTTCCTGTTCCGGTGAGCTGATGAACGGCAGATCCCCCCGGCATCTCTGAAGACTTTGCTCATCAAACTGACCCGTTTTTTTAGCCTAACTAAAGTTGGTCCCCCTTCCAAATGAAGTCGGTGTTCAGTGACTCAGAGAGCGGGACGGGACCATCCCAAAAGTTTTTTCTTTCAACCTTTATTTCTACAGGTAAATCCCATTGAGCCTCGAGGACTCGTTTACAAGAGAGACCTGGTTTAACAAAGAAAGATGAAAAACAATGGACAACAGCGACAACAATAGACAGTAATAAAAGAGGCGTACAGTTTTTTATTTTACAAATTAAGATAAGATGGTAAAAAGGTAGCAAAAACAGCTCGATTATAGGGTGAATGTAGAAAACTAAAAACAGGAACATGTCTGCATTGGTCCCTGCCAGGAGTCCAACAGATTCTTAAAGACACTCAGAGAGGTCAAGGTCGAGAGCTTCAGATCTTTTTACAAGATATTCCAGGAAACGGGAGCGGAGTAGGAGAAGGTCCTTTTGTCTAGTTCAGTCCTCACTGAGGGAACACTGCAGGTAATGATGTCCTGAGAGCGCACGCTGTAGCTGCACTCACACAGAGACATGTAGGAGGAGATGTATGAAGGCAGCAGACCAGGAAGTGATTTAAAGATGAAAATGTACCAGTGAGAAAGTCTGTGTGAAGTTAATGGTGACCAGTTAACCAGTGAATACTGGGTGCAGTGGTGCGTACGGTAGTGACAGCCAGTTATGAATCTTAGTGCACCATGATAGACAGCATCCAACATCTGCAGCATCCAACATCTGCAGCATCCAACATCTGCAGGGTTCTTGTAGGAGCGTTCATTTAAATAATGTCACCGTAATCAATGGAGGGAAGGAAAGTCACAGATACAAGGTGTTTCCTAACATTCAGAGTTAGACAGGATCTGTTTCTGAAAAAGAAACCCAGTTTAACTTTCAGTTTCCTTACTAGGTTTTCCAGATGGAGCTGAAGAGATGCAAGTCGACCAAGATACACAAATATTTATAGGAATCAACAAACTCAATGGGGACACCATTTGAGGATAAAATCAAAGGAAGAACTGCTGGGACCGACTTCCTGTTTGAAAAAAGCATCCCTTTGGTTTTGTCAGTGTTTAGGACAAGTTTGAGGTGGAACAAATCAGACTGGATGATGTCAAATGCAGATTTCAAAAGCTGGAAAACCTTAATGTTTTAGCTCGACAATAAACAAATGTGTCATCAGCATAGAAATGTATGGATGCGTCAAGGATGCTCTGACCTACGGGGACCGAGATGATGTAGACGCAGGGCAGCCGGCCCGGGACCCAAAAGTCCCAGGTTCGATCCCTGGTCACTGCACACCTCGTGGTGTCTCTGGGCAGCACACCTCTTCCCCAAAATGCCCCCTGGTCACCTTTAATAGCTACCCACTGCACCACCTGGTGGTGGATGGGTTAAATGCAGAGACTAATTTCGCCATTGTATGGAAACATACAGTGATGACAGTGAGATGACATTATTATTATTATTATTATTATTATTATTATTATTACCTATGTCGATTGTAAAGAGGATAGGTCCTAAGACTGAGCCTTGTGGTACACCATTGTTGACTGTTAAATAACTGGAGGAAGTTCCATTATGTTGAACACATTGCCTTCGATCTGAGAGATAGTTAGAGAACCAACCAATGGTGTGTTCTGAGAAACCAGTTTCAGAGATCTTATGACACAAGATGTTCTGATCCACAGAGTCAGAATCTTTAGACAGGTCTAAGAAAAGTGCAGCACAATAATCCTTAGCATCCAGTGCTTCAACAACATCATTAAGAATCTTCAGTGAAGCAGTGGTTGTGCTGTGTTGTTTCCTGAAACCAGATTGATGTGGAGGTAAGATGTTAAATGAGTCCAGGTAATTTTTGATTTGAGAGTTTATCATTTTTTTTTAGAATCTTGGCTAAAATGCAGAGTTTAGAGATTGATCAATAGTGGTTCAGTGAGGGGGGGTCACCTCCCTTCAGCAAAGGAAGAACAAAGGCTGTTTTCCAAGCATCTGGAGTTTTGCCTTATGGAGAGATTAAAGATGTGGGTTTTCACACGCAATAATTCTCTGTGTTTACATTCCTTCAACTGCTGAAGTATCACAGGCTGATGACATCATCATCTCCACCACTGCCAGACTTCAGTCTCTGCACCCTGATGCCTTCATGGCTATTTGTGGTGATTTTAATCATGTCAAGTCAAGTCAAGTCATATTTATTTATAGAGCACAATTTAAAACAGATAGACTGTTATCAAAGTGCTTAGAGCTTATCAGAGTGCATGTCACAATGAACTCAACCTTGCCCAAATTCAAACAGTTTGTTAACTGTAAAACTAGGAGAAATAAAACACTGGATCTGCTGTATGCTAATGTGAAGGAAGCATATAGTGCCATAGCTCTCCCCACCCCTGGGCAAATCAGACCACAATCTAGTTTACCTCAAGCCCTGGTACAACCCTGCAGTACAGTGGCAGCCAGTGACTGTGAGAACTGTACGGAAGTGGCCACAGGAGGCAATGGAGACCCTGCAGGGCTGCTTTGAGGCAACTGACTGGGATGTTTTTGTGATGCACATGGGCAGGACATTCACACACTGACTGTGTTAAGCCTTATATTAACTTCTGCACAGATAAGATAATCCCCACAAAAACTGTGCTGCTTTCCCAACAATAAACCATTGATCACCAAGGACATCAAGGCAGCCCTGAACAGGAAGGAGGCTGCCTTCAAGAGGGACAGGGAGGCGATGAGGAGAGCGCAGACTGAGGTGAGGATCAAGATCAGGGAGCGTAAGGAGCAGTACAGGAGGAAGCTGCAGAGAAACTGGCTCAAAACAACACCAGAGAGGTCTGGAATGGGATGAGAAGCATCAGTGGTCAGAAAAAGACTGCAGCAGTGATGGGAGGAGACCAATCAATCAACCTTTATTTATACAGGTAAATCCCATTGAGCCTCGAGGACTCATTTACAAGAGAGACCTGATTTCAACAAAGAAAGATGACAACAATGGACAACAGCAACAACAATAAGCAGTTATAAAAACTCATACTACAGTTTTTTTTTTTTTAACAAATAGGATGGCTAAAAGGAAAAAGGTAACAAAACAAAAAACAGCTAGATTCCAAGACAAATGTAGAAAACTAAAAACAGGAACATGTCTGCATTGGACCCTGCCAGGAGTCCAACAGATTCTTAAAGACACTTAGAGAGGTCAAGGTCGAGAGCTTCAAATCTTTTTGTAAGATATTCCAGGAAACAGGAGCAGAGTAGGCGAAGGCCCTTTTGCCTAGTTCAGTCCTCACTGAGGGAACACTGCAGGTAATAATGTCCTGAGAGCGCACTCCGTAGCTGCACTCACGCAGAGACATGTAGGAGGAGATGTATGAAGGCAGCAGACCAAGAAGTGATTTAAAGATGAAAATATACCAGTGAGAGAGTCTGCGTGAAGTTAATGATGTCCAGTTAACCAATGAATACAGAGTGCAGTGGTGGGTACGATAATCACAGCCAGTTATGAATCTTAGTGCACCATG